ATAAAATCACGGATTTTACAGAATTCAAGACAGATATTGAATTGAACTCATTGAAAATCGAACAAGAATGTCACTCATCGGTCTTCCGAACGGTCTGTAGACATTTACATGATGCCTCACAGGCACTAATGAGATCGAGTCGGAAAAAGTTTGTAAGAAACATCGGCGACGACGAACACCAAGCTCTAAGGAACTTACGAAACAACAAAAGTATAGTAAACTGTCGAGCTGATAAAGGTAACGCGATAGTTGTATTAGACAAATCCGATTATATTAATAAAATCAGGCAACTTCTCTCATGTAAACAGTTTCAATTAACAAAGAGAAACCTATTACCAATGAAAGAAAAAGAAGTTAATAAATGTCTACGACAACTCTATCGAGAAAACGTATTTGATATAAAGTTATTTTATCGATTACGATCTACGTGCGCTTCTTACTCAGCTATGTATGGCCAACCAAAGATCCATAAAGTGGGTTACCCCGTACGACCGATAATATCTTCAATCGGCACATACAATTATCTAGCACAGTTGTTATACAAAAATAGAATTTCATCTTTCTCATATATTAAAGACTCGTTCGAATTCGTAAAATCTATTGTTAAGTTGAAACCCGATAAAAATCATATATTATGCTCATTTGATGGAGAATCTCTCTACACAAATGTTCCGACGAACGAGGCAATTGAAATAGCGTTAGATATGTTGTATAAACGAACTAAAAACGATGCCAAAGCTGATATAATATTCAATCGAGAACAAATGAAAAAATTACTCCAGCTTTGTGTATGTAATGTACCATTCAGGTTTATGAACGATCGATATGTACAAGTGGACGGGGTGGCCATGGGTAGTCCTCTGGCCCCGATCTTAGCAGATCTGTTTATGTCCAAGATGGAACTCAAGATCAATAGATTCTCTACAAATAAGCCTATCATGTGGTTGCGTTATGTAGACGATGTGTTTTGCATCTTCACCGTCATCATTCTTAAATTTACCGTTGAATTTGAATCGAATCAGTGTTTACCCTTCTTGGATGTGTTGGTAATCCGGGACAATGATAAATACACAACAACCATTTACCGTAAGCCTACTAACACGGACTTATACATGCTCTATGAGTCAAATCAATCTCGCAAGTATAAACTTGGGCTGATAAAAACATTGGTAATTAGAATTATGAGAATCTGTTCAACACCAGAAAATATGAAAACTGAAATCGATCGATTAAAAATAACATTAACATCAAATGGCTACCCACCGCATATTATCAAACGTGGCATTAGAGAAGGTGGTATAATCACTAAGCGTATTTTACAGCAGCCACAACAGAAAACAGTAAAAACAGTATTCTTTGTATTACCATATTATGGCCAAGAAACATTTATATTTTCACAACGTATTAAAAAGATTTGTCGTAAGCTACTGCCTCACCTGACACTAAACTTTGCGTTTCGGAAACACTCAACAATAAAAAGCGTATTTTTGTCTTTGCAAAAAGGGCAAGATCCGGAAAAAAGAATGAAAAAGTTAGTTTATAAAATCAATTGTAAAAACTGTGATAAACATTATTTTAGCGAAACTGGACGAACACGTAGTAAACGTATGACCGATCATAAACGAGCAATCAGGAACAATGATGAAAGTTCGAAGCTAGCTAAACATGTATACGCCAATAATCACACAGTAGATATTGATAAAGTAGAAACAATGTCTCTGGAAACTAGCTGGAGACGACGTATAATAAAAGAAAGTTTGTATACACATAACAGTGCGGAAAAAGCATTTAATGACACTAAACATCAACTTCGAGTTTTCGGATGATATTGTACTCTCTGAGTACAGTTTTTCGGGCCGTACTTACTCATATGTTCATTTGAACATATGATGAACATATGAAGAGAAACGAAATAAAGAAAAGAAGAAGCGAACATTGATTTGATCTATTTTCATTTTCAAAATTCAACGAACGTTCTTTTCAAGAACAAACAAGAAAGAACAGTCATCTTTGTCTTTTTGTATATAACTCTGTTAAATGTTCCATTTTAGTCAGC